TCAAGTAAAATTTTGAGTTAATTTAAAGGCATTTGAAGTCCAATTACAGAGATACATTTATTAAATGTGTAATTTAGGTAGAATAAAGCTTATATCATAGATGTAAATTGCGACTTTTTTTTTTCAAATTTATATCTTTTTTCAATTTGCAATTATTTATTGGAATTATAGAATATTTTATCTTTAATTTAATTATATACAATATTAAAAACTATAATAATAATAAAAACGAAACTAAAACTAGAAACTTAATTATCATATCATTCATATTTTTTTGTTATTATATTTTAGTGAGGTAAATTTAAATAAGGGTATTATAAAATTATCACCAAGTGAAGGTGTAAGAATATCCACTGTCCTATATCGTCCTGTGGATGTATTAAGAGGCGGCAGAGGGAATCAAACCAGGAGATGGTCAACAACATTTTACTAATATGTGTACATATTTTATTTGAATAAATTATATAAACACACCCGCTAAAATTTCCCCCCTATTACGCAATTTATATAATTTTATATTAGGTCTGTTTTTAGATATGGACTTTTGGTAGGCTGTAACGGTATTTTAAATTATTATTTTATTAAAGTTCAGAAGGAATAATGGTTTTACCAATCGGGTATACGCATGGAGTGGGGAGGGATTGCAAATGTGTAAAGAAATTCCGGAACAAAAATGCACGCCGCTGGCTCGCGGGATGATCCCCTCGCGCCTCGTGCTCTAAGCATTCCGCCATTTAACCGCGTAAATTGATTACTTGGAAAATCCGAGAAAATCTCACTGTAACAGTGCGTAATGAGCGTCGTACTGCCTGCCACATGTGAAATGTGCCTTTTTGCATTCCGACCATGCTACCGGCCTGCGATGCGCAAATGCCACATTGTGGCTATAGCTTAATGTCTTCAAATCAGGTTTCTTATTATAAAACTTTGTAAACCTTTTTCAATTCTTATTTATACTTATGCATCTAGTTATAAACAAGAAATCTTGAAACATCAATTCCTACTTTGTTACTGAAAATCGAAATTAACCTTTTTTGGTCATTTTTAGAGAATACATTTATTTATACATCATTATATATTTATGTAAAGCAATAATATTTTTATACCCCAATAGGAGTTTTTCTTATTTCGGTGAATGATTCGCGCGATGAGGACACGGGACGAGGTCACAAGGGTCCGTTACGGGCGTCGGGCCTATTGCGACAGATGGCCGCGGTCCCGGCGGGAGGTGAAGACGGCTCTTCGGAGAGATCGACCTCCGAAATGCGTCCGAGATTGCATTCTTTCGGCGGCGCGGGCGCATTCCAACGCCGTAGCTCCGCGCGCCCGCGCCAGTCGACGCGCGCCCTTTTGGGGGTTAAGATGTGTCCGTCGCGGCGGGCGCTCACTATGTGGTCCCAGCCGCTTCCCCCGGAACCCGAATTCGAGCCAACGTTTCGTGCACGCGCCTCGACCGCCGACACGCACACCTGGTGCCGCGGCTGCTTCGGCGACCGCCAGATCGCCCGAATGGTCCGCGAGTACGGCGTCCGTGTCGATCCCACAACAACCCGGCCGCCCGGGCTACAAGTTCGTGACGAGCCCCAGTACCAGAATCTGGACGAGCTGCGCAAGCGTCCGGAGTACGCTAACCTGGACGAGATAAGCCGCGAATACGGTTACCGCCTCTGCCCCGAAGGCCAAAATCTGGAGGATGAAGCGATCTACGAAAATATATTGTCAGTGCGTCAGATTCGTTCCGCCGAAGTGCGTTTGGTTCCGGTGTCCGAAGTGGCATACTACGAAGGTCAGGGTTATGTTGCGACCCAAGTTCTGAGCAGGAATGGCACCTTCCCCCAGTGTCCGCCGCATACTTGGAGTCGCTTGCAGAATGCTGGAAGACTTACGGGATCGTTGAGGCTGTTTACAGTAAATATTACCTCCAATTTCCCGGCTTAATGATTTATTTCGTTCGATTTTCGTTTCTGACAGTGAGTTTTAAAAAAATGATAGATAATCTGTTATTACCCATTGAATCTAAAGCTAGAACTTACAGGTACTATTTTAGAAAATAAAAACCCAAATCAATGAACTCGTATCATAATTTTACAATTTGTTTCATACAGAACAGGATATGTATGTATTCTTCAATGACTTTTTGCACGCATTCCTTACAAAAAGTCTTTGCTCATTGTACCTCTGTATTTATGTCCAGCGCAAAAAATAAGCAACGGAATTTCGCTCTAATGACTTGTTAATTTTGGTAGTGACTCGATGAATTTCGTGCCGGCGCGTGAAACGTCGACCCGGCTGACCGAATGTGCTGATGTTTGACTTTTGGTCGACGTGCTCATAATAAATTGTTTGCCATTCACCTTCATATATTTTTCAAATATATTATATTGAATATAATACTAACTAGAGCCGCGGTAGCTTCTGATCTTAAAGTTCAGAGTACGCGGGATGCAGAGTACGACCGACGGTTACGTTAAAATTGTTAATTACAATTTTAAGGAAATAACGAGGAAAACTGCAATATTTGAGTAACTAGATATAAATATTTTGAGGTCATGATTTGAAGTCTGTCAACAAGTACTGGAGCAGAATGCCGGACTCTACCCTGCATCACAATCCTTTCAGGGATGAGAGGAAGAATGTGCTCCAAAGATTCTCTTATTAAATGTTTATAATAGAGGCTATAAAAGAAGATAGTTTGAAATCTACGTTTGTAGTTAGTGCTTAGTCTTGCAAAGTACGAAATTATGGGTTAAAGATGTTGACGTAGATGAAGATCATCATTACAGATCATCACAAATCCACACTTGAACATATGCCTCCCCAAGGAATGCCGCAAATCACATACTTGAGCCACCTATATCCATCGACTCCATCTCTTACCAGGTCGTACTTCTATCATGCCGCCCTACTCTTCGCTTAACGGTACGAGGCTTCCACTCGAGGACGTTTCGTCGTCAGTTTTCTGTTCTGCGAGATATAATTCTTTGAGATGTAATTTGGAACTTTTCATTTATTGAGAATAAGTAATCTAATTTTTTGTGTACATACGCATAATTAACTATTAACAAGGGCTAAAATGTTTAATTAATTAGAAATAAAGTATTACAATCGCGTAATCCGTGTATACAGATAAACATAAGTTATTTAATGGACTATATTGGTTCCGTTGCCTCGTAAAAGTCTCCTTAGATTTTCAAGATGAATGTAGAGTTCGAAGCTTTCTATTGCACAGCTTTGACCTTGCGGACATGGATGTCTTTAAAATATTTTGTCTTTTAAATTATTTTATTTATATCTCAAATTAAAAATATGGCGGTTAGTTTTCTCCAAATGTTTTCCTTCGCGTATAATAAATGTCATCAGCACTTTCATTTGTATCTGCACGGAGATCGAACTAAGATCGCTTCCGTAAGAAGGCAATATCTCTCGGCTTCTACGCCACCATAGCTCATTAATTTAAACTTGAACCACTTTTTGTTCTTAAAGTCAATATATTTATTACATTTAGTACGAAGTAGTATCACGTAATTCGCATGTGGTTAATTGTTCCTTAAAACTTATACTGTTTAAAATTGAGTACCTAGTTTTCAAACCGAAATATTGTCTTTCCATTTATTTATTTTTCATATATTAACAGATTGTTCTCGAAAATTGCCATATGCGAAAAATATCAAGTGCTGAATTTGGTATATTCACACCATGAATAAACATCATATCTTTGTGTCACGAATTCTTGACTATTAAAAAGACATCACAGACTATACTGACTTATATATGAAGTTTATTTTAAATAATATTAAATTTTTAAAATTAAACAAGATCGTTCTTACCCACCAACGTAATTGGCGATGGTGGGTATCGTCTCTGCGTCATTATAGCCAGCAAAAAATTATAGAAGAATAATAAAATTAATCTCAAAACGAGATTTCGTCCGCTAATTAGCGCAACCATATTTTGTCTGGCCACCACGTTTATTGCTCTAGAAAGTTCTATAGTGTTATCTAAAAATTATGATTAAATTAGAATTAAAAAATTGACCACTGTAAAATTTATGTGTCGTATTGTAATGTTTTACAAAAAGTTTTATTTTAATTTTAATGTGTTGCTCATATGCATAATATATTTTTTTCCCACTATTCCGTAAGAGAATCCACTGCCATATCATCCCTTTGTGAGAGATGACAAAGGGAAATGGAATAGGAGATAGACAGCAGCATCTTCGTGATAACATCTCAAAATAACAAAACACTGCATTTGCCAGCCGGCCTGCCAAGCGTGGCAACTATGACCAGTTTTGATAGGATGTTTAAATTAATAAAAAAAATAAACAAAGGTTTTTTAAAGTTGATATTATATTACGATTAGCGCTATGTATCTGTTATGTCTTTTGTACTACAGTACGCACCGTCCGATAACATCAGATTCGCATTTAATTAAATAAAAATAATAACATAATTTAAAAAAAATGTTTTTGTTCGATATAAATTGTGTTTTACAGATATCGAGCGTACATTTTAAATAAGTTGATTCATTTCAATTCATTCTATGTATTACATATTTTGATAAATACACGGGTACTTGTAGTATAAAGAAATTTTTATATGTGTTTTTGATATAGATAAAGGGTGACAAACGCGCACACATGAAAATGCAGAGACGTTTTCACCCCTGAGGACTAAGATGGATTACCCCGTTACTAGTTAAAAGGATCTCCGGTTCTCTACACTCACCATACGAAAGACAGCAACATTAAGCTGCTATTCTACACTAGTATTTTACTATTAGATGTGGATATAGGCCACATCATCCACTCACAATCAGGTGGACTGTGTTCTCTTTTGTCACCCTCATCTTATAAAAAAGTAAATTGTCATAATGCGCTTTTATCATCACAGCCCTTTTTAAATTTATTGATTAACATTGGGATCTTTCCAACCTTTCAAACTGAACTGTATTGAGTTATTTACAAATTTTAGCTAAAATATCTTTTCCATTGTCAACAGGCCAAGAGGGAGATGTACGATGTCAAGAAGCAGAGGCTGTGCCTCGCTCAAGACGAGTACAAACATTTGAACAACGCTCTATCTACCCTCGCTGCCTCCAGGACGAGCTGTGAGTATTAAACTATTGCAGTGAGACGTGTCATTACTGTTGCAATTTTTTACCACACAGAAAAAAAAACTGTAAAAGGGTATATCCCATAGAGTGTACATAAGTAGCTTGCTTATGTATATTCCAAGGTGTATCCATAGTAGTTAAATAGTTTTTACGGTGGCATTTTTATTTTTATCAAGAGATACGTCTATTTACTCATAACCTAAACTAAATGTTTACCTACCATCGTCATTGAAGTAGAAACCAAGCTTTTGAAAATCAAAAATATTGTTGTATTTTGTGACTATAATCAGTTAAAATTAGTACCCTTATTTAGTTGAGTAGGTAGGCTGTATCCAGGCACACACAATAGCTCTATAAGGAGAGTTAATAATTAAATTCCATTCAGCATTTCGTATGATAGCGGCGTCGTAGTAAATTGCATTATGAAATCATCGTAGTGTATTGATTTATTATAATAATGAATCAGGATGCATTTAATAATTACGCCGAAGCGTGATGGAATTCTGCTACGCGAAGATATGTCAGACGTTGCGCACAGTACTCGGAAGAATGTAGAATTATGTGGATTTGCAAGTTTATAGTGTAATATAAAAGGAAAACCGTAAGATCATTATCAAATAGTTAAAATAACTTAATAACACATTACGCCTACTTAATGGAAATTTAATAAAGAAATTGAAGGCTTTCATGGACGTTAAGGAAATATATAGGAGTTTTAATGCCAACGTAAAATTATTTGTCAAATTAAACGATAATGGCGGTTTACCTCTGACGACTTACGTATCGCTTTTAATTTCGTTACCAAAGAGAATATAATCACTACGTTTATTAGTAAATACCATTTATGATTTAAAAATATTAACACGTCCCTAGTTTGTGTAAAGCGCACACACCTTCTCTTATTAGGGAAAGTTATGGAGCGTATTCCGCCACGTTGCTTCACTAACGCGGATTTCATGTCTTATAATGCATTTAATCGCATAACATGGGATTTTTAATCGAGTTCAAAAAAGATGGGAAGGTATATTCGCCGCGTATGTTTTTTATGTATTATCACCAATTTCTCGCACACAGCTGAACCGATTGAAAAATTTTTTTGCCGTTTCACGTTTTTATTAAAAACCCTCTATACACCGGCCGTGCCAATATTTCTCGGGAAAACGTCGCCGAGTACCGGAACAAACTTGTGTCTGAAGTCGAGTCTTTGCTGAACAAAGTCTCGGATTGGAGGCGACTAAATCTAGTCCAGTTTAATCCTCAGAAGACACAAGTTTGCTCGTTTACCGCTAAAAAGAACCCCTTTGTCGTATCTCCTCAGTTTCAAGGCACTCCCCTTCTTGCCTCAGCCAGTATCGGTATCCTCGGTGTCGACATATCAAGTGACGTGCAGTTTCGTGGTCACTTGGAAGACAAGGCCAAATTGGCCTCTAAAAAGCTTGGCGTGCTCAGCAGAGCGGGACAGTATTTCATGCCGGCACACCGCTTGCAACTTTACAAGGCGCAGGATCGGCCTCACATGGAATACTGTTCCCATCTCTAGGCAGGGGCTCCACAGTGCCAGCTCCTTCCACTTGACTGCATCCAGCGCAGAGCGGCTCGAATCGTCGACGACCGAGTCCTTTCCGATCGGCTCGATTCATTGGCACTGCGAAGCGATGTTGCATCCCTTTGTATTTTCTTTCGCATTTACCACGGAGAGTGCTCTGAGGAATTGTTCGGATTAATCCCAGCCGCCAAATTTCACGAACGCACATCGCGACAGAACTCCCGATACCATCCACATCTGGATGATTGGTGGTCCACCATTGTGCTATTTAGAAGATGTTTTCTTCCTCGCACGATTTCCTTGTGGAATCGATTACCATCAGCGATTTTTCCGGACCGATACGACTTAGGGACCTTCAAGCAAAGAGCCTACTCTTTTTTAGAAGGCTGGCAACGCATCTGCAATTCCCCTGGTTCCCCTGGTGTTGCAGTTGTTCATGGGCAGCAGTAGTCACTTACCATCAGGTGAGCCGCATGCTCGTTTTTCCCCGCTCCTATAAAAAAAAAAAACCCAAACACCTATAATTATTCTAGATCTCAAACTTTTAATATCACTTCTTTGTTTGTAAAATTGCGGACTTAAGCTTTGATTTTAGAGTGGTTGGTGGTAGAATTTCAGGGGTTGTAAACTTTTATGCTACAAAACCAATTTGGATTTTTCTAGAATTATAAAATTTTACTTTTTTTCACGAATCAAAGATGTTTCACAAGTAGAGTTACATTTAATAGTTTCTTTTGCCATCATGCAGTGGCGGCGTAAAAGAAATCTCTACCAGATATAATACTGTGAGTGTCGAAAGAGACGACAGAGGGAAATGAAACGGGGGATCAACAGCATCTTCCTGATCTAACTGCGGTAGCTGAATCGCTTGTCAAGCATGTCTCCTTTTTTTTCTTTTAATAAATAAAAAACTTTACCCATACACTAGGATTTTCTCCTGTATCGTGGAGGCAGCTTACAAACATAGATTTCACGAGGACAAACATCCAGACCCGGAGCAATTATTCGTGGGCCATACAAATATTTGTACCGTGCGGGATTCGAACCCGAGGGCCCCCAGCGCAACAACTCATTGCAGCCACTGCGCCACGGAACCGTCTACTAAGGCTTTAATTCTAGAGAACACCATCAATATAGTCGAAGTCAATTAAATATGCATTATTAAGGATAACTCAAAAACTCCTGGTCAACTTATGATCAAATTTATATGGGACTATATGAGGAGCACCAGCTTTCTAATAAAAAATCATCAAAATCGGTTAACCTAGAAAAAAGTTCTGAAGTAACACACATAAAAAATACATTCGAATTGAGTACCTCCTCCTTTTTTTGAAGTCGGTTAAAAAGGGCCAGATGTGGCTGAACCTAAGCAACTGAAATCCCTTACTGTAGCAGTGAGTTATAAATTAATTATCCCTATTAGAGGTTTGTTAGAAGCAAAAAGAAATGATGTCGTGTACAATAGGACACTTAGAAAAGGCGTCTAAGATAGCAATTTCCGCATTTCGCAGTTTTTGCATTCATCGTATAGTCTGATAGCGTATTATGAGAGGAAATAGGAAACTATGAATGCTTCCTGTGCCACACACATTGTTACTCGTTGCGAAAAAATATGTCAAGACTGCTATTAGTTCGTGGATGTGTTTATGTATATAATAGAAAGTTGTGTCTATGTTACAAATGTAGGTATAATTGAAAGTGAATTGTATCGAGGAATATTTTCGTATATTTCGAAATTCTATTTAGTCGTTTGTTAGAATTATGATTTTTTTTTAATATCTATAGTGAGGTGATCGCTACCATGATGTTTCTAAATGTTTTCATAACAATTGTATGAAATATTATATTGTAAATTGTGCTTTTTAAAAAAAGTCCCGCTGGGTTTCTTGCTGGTTCTTCCCAGGACAGAGGTTTATTGCGATAAACCATCAGTGGTAAAAGTAAAGAAAATGACTTTCAATAAGTATTATGTACTGTAATCTACATTGAATAAAAATTATTCTATTCTATTCTTTACTCTCTTAATATTATAGAGAAATAAAATTTGTTTATTTGTAGGGACTAATGCTTAGATTCCCTAGAACTTCTGAACTGATTCTTTCGTTCAGTTCTTTAAGTTTTCGTTTCAGAATCTCAATTTATGTAATCAAATCGGAAGAAATAGCACTGTTAGGCTGCTTTATCGATGTGCGCTGACTAAACTTTTGCTTATAGCTACGTAAATAATGTACGTACTATGAAAATATTAGTCATCAATAGATCTTAAAACAATTCACGTCACGATAATAATATATGGCGTAGATGTTAATACAAGTAACGTTATCAAGTTATTAAGTGCTTAAAGGCACTACTAGCTTCTACCCGCTGCTTCTCATGCAAAATATCTGTAGTACCTTAAAGTAGCTTATGCTATTGCAGATGATTTCTTTGATATTTGCCAAGTTTCATCACAATCCATTCAGTAGTTTCAAGGTTCAGTAGTATTTAACATATTAAGTACATCCCCACATCCATACTTTTACCTTTATAATATTTATGCGATGTGTCGATGAAAGCAGGTGGCACAGGATCTTACATTGTGACAGTCTACGGGAGAGGCCAATGTTCAGCAGTGGGTTTGTGATGGGCTGTGGTGATATTGTGGTCTTGTGAATATTAGTGTGATAGATAATGTTAAGCGTATATATGCAGCTCGTTATATACTAACTTATATACTACAGTAATTAATGCACACACGTGAGTGAACAACTAGACTAAAAATAATATTTCGTGCGGGTGAAACCGCGGTTCATAGCTAGTTTCTCATAAATTTATAGAATTTCAAAGCTGACTACAAAGCCACGTTGCAATAAAATCTATGCACACCAGTAGGTTACTTATGAGAAAATGATTCTGGTGATATTTGATATAAAACAACTTTAAAAATTAAAATGACAAGCCTACACCACAGATGCGTTACCTCTGAGTCTTTAATAGGTCAACAATGGTCAAAATAATGCAACAAATTACATGTCAACACTGTAGCCAAAATGTTGCTTGTACAATTTAATTTAAAAAAATTGACTTGTAAAGAGTATAACAACTCAATTTTAAAGGAAAATGAGCTTTTAAAGCAGGTGTCTGCTAACTAAAAATATTAATTACTTTTTGTTACAATTAATTTAAAGTTTATTTAGTTCTTTAGTGTTTTGTTTAATTTTGTTTTTCACTGCGAATTGCAATAGTAGTAAGTAGGTAAGTAAAATAAAGTAAACAATGATATGAGTATATTGTTCTTTCATTAGGATTTAAGAAAATGTTATGGTAAATGATAAATAAGCCTTGTACTTATTACTTTAAAAAATTGTCGTATTACACCAAGACTAAAAAATTAAGAGTGTCCGGCTCTTCAGTTTTAAGACCTGGCAACCCTAGATACGATGATACCTATTCAGACGCACTCTTAAGAGAATAGGGGGGCTACCGGTTAGTAATCTATCAGCAGTTAACAGCAGGTGGGTGTCCAATACATAAACTGGTCGTTATTAGTTACTACACAATAAAAAGAAACATAAACCATCGACAAACGATGTTTTCTCCGGCCATCACTAACATCAAATCAAACTCCGCTATTAAGAACGCGCCTTTTATCATTCCAACAGAATTAAACTCGCCTAACTTATTTAAATGGCAAAATCAATTTACGCTTACATCTAGCGCCGGATTAAAGCATAACTCCTGCGCTATCTCAATACAAACTTCGTTACGAATCCAACGCAGGTCAGACTAGATTATAAATTGTAATCAACAAAGGTCCTAAACACCATTATGCTTGCAAATAGTGACGTTCTAAAACAGGTATCTATATTTAGTTATTTAAATCGCTTTAATTTACCAAGTGTTGTATGATTGTTCTAGAATTAACAGATTCAAATTCAAATTCATTTATTTATTTATGAATATAGTGAGTTAAGTGTTGGCAAAATTAATAACAGAAGAATGTATAATTATTGTTTTCGATACGAATTTAACGTTTATTATTTATGTTTGCCCAATGTATTTCGTTTATAAACTATTTCCTTTGCTGTAAATTATTATCGTAAAGAAGAAAGTAATAACTTGAGAGTTCCACATGTTTCACAGCTCAGCATTATACCCTTCTCCCACTTCTTGGAAGGTTTTGGAGCAAAAAAACGTCTCAAGTACTATCAGCATTACTTCACATATTCTGGAAATCTAGGTTGTTGGTAATTTCTCAGACATGGACGTTTTTCTTTACCGTTTAGCACGTGGCAAATCGGCACTTAACTTTGCAAATAACAATTTCGTTGGTGTCAATAGGTATCGACTCTGTTCGTTCGCGAAAGAAAGTATAAATGTATGAAAAATTTATGATTTGAACGCGGTTGGTTGAGTTTATTTGTTGTTAACTTAAATATTTTTTTAATTTTATTTCACAGTATCGATACTTTGAAATGCAATGTCCCTAACGATCGACATATCGCAGGATCTGTAGAAATCGATTTCTATTTATTTCGATGTCAATCGGCGTTGAAGAGGTTGTTTTTTTTAAATTTTGTACATCGAGTATGATAAAAATAAAAAGTAATTCCAATAAAGTAGTACCGGCAACGATATTTTCATACTGCTCTCCGCGTTGTTTCTTTTTAAATTCCGTAGTTGCGTACGGTAATTGCATTTTGCATGGTTCAATCATGCTACTAATAACAGGACTGCGGTACAGGGTTGTTAATTCTTGTATTTTATTGAAAATTTTATATGAATAACAGTCTTGATATAACAAAGAGTGTATGTCTTAACACATTATATACAACTTTTTACCGTTACCGTTACAGTCTATCAAAGGTCCTATGCTATATGTTGGCCTCCCCCATAGGTTTGCCATAGTTGCCACGTTGGGCACGTATGTTAGCAATTGCAGATTTTTTTTAGGTGTTATTAGGAAGACGCTGCTGTCCTGGTTTGTTTTCCTCTGTCGCCTCTTACGACACCCACGAGACGAACTGGGGTAGTGGATATTCTTACACCGCTATTAGACGGTTGACCAATTTTACCATTTTTACATTAATAAAATTCCTCGGCCCTGATAAATTAATAGTTAGGTACTCGCTTTAAAATTTCATTGTGTGCGCAAACATTTTTAATGCCCGCTGGCTTTAATAGCTGTTTTACCACGTGCTCAGTGGTGATAAAAAATCTTGTTTGGAAATGCCTTAAATATCGAGAACATGTGGAGGCTGCAAGCTGGTACTGGAGCAGCATGCGCATGCTGCTCTCTCAGTCTTTTCTACCCTATCATCTCTTTCATTAATGAGCAAAATAATTCACCTTTAATATAGTAGTAGTCTGTAATTTTATTTTATTTTAATTTCAAATTAATGTGTAAATGTATAATAAATAAATTTTCCACAGTGTGCTCGTCAACGACGTCTATGACAACGACGTCAACGACGTCACGTCATGACCCAGATGTACTTCGTGCGGAGGTGTCGCAGGCGAGAGGAAGAGTCGCGCAACTTCGTAAGGAGCTGCGACAGGCGCGGGCAGAAGTAGCCAGCGCTCGCCGTGGTGTCGACACCCTCGCCGAGTAAGTATACTGCTCCGGATTTATGTTCTCCTAGTCGATATTAACTACGGCGATGAACAATTATTACCAGAATCAATAATAGCTATAATAATAATAGTGCCACAAGTAAATATGCAAGGAAAGTGGCTTAAACTATTCTTTTTCTTCTTCATCAGCTCATAAAAGTCCACGGCTGGATATAAGCATCACCCTCCACGCTTGGCAGGCGTATTGATTGACGATCACAGTACCAGACATGTTGAACCTTTAAAGCTGCTACCCATCGTCGGTCTTGCTATTTTATGTCTGGTGTAAATAAGATGCTTATACCACAGTCAGTCGGAAGCCATAAGACCTATTTGGAATTTTCCATAGTCTTATCTTACCGACACCCACGGCATGAAACGAAATGGAATAATGTGAAGGATTCTAAGGCTGAGGATTAACCTGCCAGTACTCAATAGAACGTTGAAGCGATCATATTGGAGTAAGGCTTGGATGCAGTATGTAGTGTCAGAGGCACGACAATAATGACAGTACCCTCAGAACTGAAGGTATATCTTTTGTTTATTAGTTCCGATTGAGGAATAGGACTATGTGGGATATAATCTGACTAAGCTAACCTGACGAGGTGGCTCTGTTATGATGTGTAAGTTTTGTCGTATTTTTTATTTAAACTTAAATTGTTATATTTTTTCAGAGTGGAGCAAAAACTAAGCGCGCAACAGGGTTGCTATAATATTACCGAAGCCCAGGCTATCATGACTGAGCTGAAAAATATTCAAAAATCTCTAACCTCCGGCGAAAAGGAAAAAGCCGATCTCATGCAGTCATTAGCCAAGCTCAAAGATGACCTTACACGACTGCAATTGGGTGAAGCCTCCCCAGACCTCTCAACCCTGAGTCTTCCTCAAGAGAAACTAAGCACTGCCTCACAAACCGATTTATGCGCTGACTTAGTACCAATCGGTACCAGGTTAGCAGAAATGGCGCGGGTACGCCTACAATATGACGAAGCTAGGAAGCGAATACAGCAAATCCAGCAACAGCTAGCCGATTTAGAAGATAAAGTGCAACCAGGACAAGCGGAATCCGACAAGGACCGTCTCCTGTTGTTTCAGGAAAAGGAGCAGTTGTTAAGGGAACTTAGGAGTATAACTCCAAGGACGAGATCGAAACAAGAGATGAGCGACATCCAAACGGAGTGCAAGAAACTCGAGCAGGACTTGAAGAATGCCTTCGAAATGTCGAACAAATGTATAGCGGATAGACTGAAACTACATGAAGAGAAGCAGTTGTTACTTCAGCAGTTGAAAGACGCGTTAACTTCTATGACGACTCTAGAAGGGCAACTGAAGACTCTGTCAGCAAGTACTCTGTCAGTGTCGAGTAGTTCGAGCTTAGGGTCTTTATCTACTGCGAGTAGTAAAGGGTCCTTGAGTTCGGGAATCAGCTTTACGGATATCTATGGAGGACCGCAGATAGCGAGTTCATTACAAACCGACAAGCCTATCGATATGGTTGATCTACACAGGAGAGTAGAAAGGTAAATTTTTATATTTATTTAGTACAGCACTTTAAATATTTGGTTCATATTTCACAATTTATCTAAATAACAGATTTCAAAATCTGCTGAAACCTAACCATAGTCATGTAGTGCCAGCGCCAGATTATGTGGGTTTTGTGACAAGAAAAATAAAACAGGAGATAGGACCATCTTCTTTATAATAACTCAAAGTAATAAAATTACGATAATGACTCAGAATCGAACATGCAAATTGTTTTATCTGACAACAAACTAATTTGACATTCAGTGTTTGTACTTATGCTCTAAAAGCTTAAAATAAATACACCATTAAAAAAAATATAAATAAATTAAATAATAGCATTTGTTTAAAAATTAATTCAAATTTCGATAACTGCTCAACTTATTACGTAGTATTTTTTGAATCTATATAATGTAATATCTCAACTCAGTACTATTCGCAGGCTACTCCGTGGTACAAGCTACAACGCAGACAGCATAACCCCAGGAACAAGTAGTTCTCCTTCCCAGCCTTCGTTATCGCCAAGAAGTAGCCTTTCTTCTGCCAGCCCACCACCTCCGCCACCGTCTTACAACCAGGTATGCTACCATGTTACTTATTTATATAATTTATGGTCCATTATAATTATTTCAGTATTATTTAGTTTAGCTAGGCTTATTAGGCCTTAGACGTTGTTGACGGCAAAGGCTAAATTAATAATGGTTGTGGGTATTACTACGTACTTACGATAGATCAGAGACATTTAAATAATATGTGAGGTACCTGAGGTTCCTCTCGCACCTAGTCCCTATACATTTGGAAGGTTGACTTAATAGCGGATAAAATTTGGAAAATAAACAAAGAGATTATTTTAAATAGCACTGACTTGTGAATTTGCAGGTTGAAAGACAAAGGCGGCAGCAGAGAGAGCTGGAGGAGAAGTTAGCCGAAATGAGGATAGGAGTCGCCACGGGACTCAATGAAGTTACAGGACTTGCCACAAGTGAGTCTACTATTGATAATTTTAATAACTTTCTAGGTTTATTAAGCTTCTGCAGAGCGGAGTTTTAGTGATAAGAAAATCCATGATCTCAACTTTGCTCGTGGGTGAGTTATGATCCAACTTGGGGAAGGGTGGGGGGGGGGGGGGTAATGAGGTCTAATTCCAATTACAATACGGTTGCTTGAAAAAAGTTAAAGCATTCATATTAATAGGGAAAGTAATCGGAAAGGAGAGTGAATTTTCATTTGTTTATCAAAGCCAGTACGCCTTACCTACTATTTTCTGATACGTCACCATCAGGATGGATAAGTCAATAAGTGCAGTCAAGAAGATCAGTCCTGAATTGATTTGTAATAGTTAAAAGTGGACCTTATCAGTCTGTACAAAAAGTTTTACTACAAGAAAAACCACATCCGCACAGAATACCATTATGAAATAGAAGCATAGCTACTGTGTCTTGTAAATAACGAGAACCGTAGATTCTTTTTACTGTTAACGAGACATTCCATCTTAGTCCTCAAGGGTGACAACGCATCTGCATTTTGATTCTTAATCGAGGATAAAAGTAGGTGTTTATTGGGCACAACATTCACTTACTAACGGTTGGATTGTGTGCTCGTTTGTCACCCAAATTTTAAAAAAAATAGGAGACGTACGTTATATAGAATAATAGTTTCAAATCATAAATACATTTTAAGGGGTTTGTTTTATTCCACAGTCCCAGTACAATTGCAAGGCCCAGGGCGGCCTTGTGAGCCTTTGTCGCCCATATCGGAAACACCACCGCCACCACTCTCACCTAGAACTCCCTCATCTAGTGGTAAGTAATCTCTAACAAAACATAACCAACACCTTTATTTACGCTCAGTCCATTAAGATCAACAATCATGATCCAAAGGTGGATCCAAGGATAATTTCTACTCGTCTTTGATACATCTGTGGAATCATACGTGGTAGAACCATGCTGCAGCTGCATTAATGGTATAGTTGTAGCACAAATGGGTCGGCTCGACCGAGGAAGGAACACACTCTCACAGAATACCAGCGTATAATGCCAGCTTGACACTGCTCTGTTTCGTATGGTGAGAGTAGAGAACCGGAAACCCATTTTACTGGAAAAGAGGCATTTCATCTTAGTCCTCATGGGTGATGTCGCATCTGCATTTTGATTTTTTATTGAGGATAAATGTAGATGCCTATGGGTCACAGCAACAACTTACCATCAGGTGGACTGTGAGCTCGTTTGTCACCATTATCCTATAAAAAAATTTAAAATCTACAGGTGGATCATAATATTTCTTTCCTTGTTGATCTGTAGGTAAGGACTGTAATGATGATAACGATGATGATCTATAGGTAATTCAAAAAAATATCCTCCTAGGAATCCTTATGATTTCTCACCATGTATGCGAATATATCCTTACTTTAATCCCATAAAAAAAAAACCGTAACGCATATTCTTTCAATACTGATCTCAATTTTAAGACAAGAAGACATTTGCTATACATGAAAATTGCTTTTTGACTTTTCTGAGTGAAGTATTTTTAGATATGTCTTTTAAAAGAATTATGGAGTTCACTAAATCGTTTTTAGTTATTAAACTAGTTTTAAAAACATCAAGCTTCAGTTTAGGCTGCAATATATTCTATACGTGTAAATGATTGAATATTGAATAATGTAACTAGAAATTGGGAATATATGTAGTAAAACTTCACTCCTACTTCCTATTTATACTTTTATACTTTCGATCAAAGTTATAACGAAGATGAGCCCTCAAAATATAATTTTTCTTACATACAAATTTTCGAGGGCTTACTCCATAACATAGTTACAGAGGGACGCTTGTGGTAGAGCCACGCTGTAGCTATATTATGGTTGCAGCATAAATGGGTCGGCTCGACCGAGAAAGGATCGCGCTTGCACTGAATACTAGCGTAAAATATAGCAACTTGATACTGCTGTTTCGTATTGCCAGTTTCATGAATTGAAGGTCCTTTTTACGGTATCGTGACATCCTTTCTTGATTCTAAATCGAAGATTGTAGGTGTCTATGAACCAAAACATCCACTTAGTATCAAGTGGGTTGTGTGCTCCTTTGTCACTCCTTTTTTTTAAATCAACTGTTTATGTGTATAAAACGCTTCCATGATACAAAAGAAAACGGAGACGTTAATAAATAAAACTAGAGATAACCTGCATGCATTACAAAATATTTCCATTGTTTATCTTGCAGGTACAAATACTAGATCAGTGTCAGCTGCAGTGAGTGATGAGTCGGTGGCGGGCGACTCCGGTGTGTTTGAGGCGGCGCAAGGCGGAGACGCTTCTAACGCAGGTCAGTTGTGCTTTATGCTCTTTTATTTGGGTTCATTTTGCATTGACAATTTTATTGGTTTGTTCAAGTGCGTTTGGACACGCCTTGAGAGAGTCCTATGTCCATCGGTGGACTGCTGCGGGGTGATGTTGATGGTTCAGATATTTTTTGTGTAAGTTAATATAGCGATAGATGAGGATACAAAGAGTCTACGCATTCCCCTGATGTTGCAGTTGTTTATGGGCTGTGGTAGTCATTTACTATCGGGTGAGCCGCATCCTTGTTGGCTCCTTCTTTAGAAAAGGTCTCGATTGGTAAGTGGATGCTGTAGCCCATAGATACATGAATCTAAATAAAGTCTCCAGCTTACATCACCAATCATGTGAAATATAATAGTTATATGCCGCATTTTGCGCTGATATTCTCTGTGTCATTTCCATTTTGAACTAGTCATAATGGAGCTATAAATACTGCCTCCCCCATGCTCCATAGACAAATATCCCTCTATATTTTTCATAGTTTGCACACTTGGCAAGCGGGTTGGCAACCGCAGTTATTTATCGTCGTTTGATCGTTATTACGAAGACGTTACTAGGAAATCTGGCTATCGGCACTCCACCTACAACTTACTACACCGGGAAAGCGGAAAGACTCATGAACAGCAGTGAGCTTTTACGTGCTGTGGAGAAGAAAATACCTATGTACGTTATAATTAAGAAAAAAGCTCTGTAAATTTAACGTTTATTTATTTTATTTTTACATTTTATATTATTTTCGTTGTTACAGTTAACAGTGCACAAATTGAAATCAAATTGCGCTACTGTCCCGACGAGAGTGCGTTAGAGATTGGAATCCTTAGGGCGCGGAATTTGCACGCGTTGTACATCGACATGGGCACCGAAGTGTGAGTATTGTGTCTTTGCCTTTATAGAAATTTTGGGTATTTTCAAGGCTCTTTTATATTTTCAATGTACGTTAAGTAGTACAATCCATTCTCATTAAATACGTACAATTTTGCTAGTTGACAAGTCATAGATTCATGCCTTAACATGACTAATAGGAAAGCAATGCCAGCTCGAAGTACGGACAACCGATTGGGAAGAAATATTCTTAAGTGGCAGCGTTGTACTGATAAGCGAAGTTTAGGGTGGCCTCCCACTAGATGGAGTGACGACCTGGTATGACATACAGAAAGTCGACGGATACAGATGAATTAGAACTGTGTTTGCGGCATATGAACGTTAATAGTTGCTTAAAATTCAGTTTTAATCAAATACTTCTATGTATACAACTAGACAGGTTCTGCGGCCTTAATATATTGCGCACTAAGTTACGGTCAATTCTCCATAACTCTTTTAGTTGACTGCGAGCGGTCGAGATGACCAGTACTTTGTTTTGTAAGCCGCAAACGTTGTTTTTGACAATCTAACACGGATTTTGTTTAAAAACAGTAAGTGCCTAGTATATTTATTGTGCCAGCTACCCGCTTGCGCGCTCTCTAAATCTCTGACACAGTTTTTGTTATGAATTGTTGGTCTAGTAGGATATATAGAAGTATTTGCCCATACCGTTGTGATGTGGCGTATGAGCGTTACAAAGCGCTTAATATTTAGCCAAATATATTTAAAAATAATAAAAAAATATATTTAATAAATAAATAATATCGTGTTACGGTGTGTGCAGTGCGGTGCGTGGAGCGCTAGTGGTGGGCGGCGGGCGCGGCGTGGCGTTCAGCACTGCAGCGCTTGCGTGGCGAGGCGCAGCTCTAGCCTGGCGTCGGGTGCAGCGGGCTGCACTTGGCCCGCGAGCGCTGCGAGCCGCTACCTTGCAGCTAAACCTTGCCGCCGGCGCCGAGTGCTTGGTGAGTGCATACCGCTAACCATTGCTGCTCTCCTGGTACATACAAATGATATCTCCTGCTGTGTTGGTACAGTTCCGTTTACGTACTTTCGTTATGGTTGGATTATGTTATAGTTTTGTAGAGCATGTTATATAACTTCCGATATTCTGCTGCTCTCCTGGTATATAATGCAATGTTCGGCATGGCAGCGCAAGCCTTGGTCCTTGGTCCATGAGCGCTGCGAGGCTATGCTGCTGCTAAACTTCACCGTTATCGTCGAGTACAAACCGAGTATACGATTAATGAGTACACACTCCTCCCCGCTACTGCTCTCCTGGTACATTATACATGTTACATGTACTCATTACATTTCCCATATTTGCCTCTTACACACCCACCGGACGAAATGTTGTGATGGATTGTAAAAGAAATAACCAGTAATATTTTGTACCGGTTTCCTGATCATAGATTATGTTCTGTTAGTATGAAGCCACTTTCTGCTTCGACTACTCTCCTGGTAAACTACGTAGGATATAAGTTTTTTTTGGATCTAATTCATGATAAAACCCAAATGATGACAAATAGCCAAATTCGAGTATTCGGCTTCAAAGCCTTGAGTGCCATGTGAACATCCCACAAGGCGAGAGCGATCATTTACTGAATTGTTCTACTCACACTGAAAATTAACTCCAAAAGTTCCATAATTAAGGTACAAATTTCTTTACAGGGTTGCGCCCAAGTCAGCTTGGCAGACTTTGACCCAGATACTGTATCTCAAAAGTGGTACAACGTGCTCAGCTTCCGAAGTATGAGGCGGGACGAGAGTTCAGATGAATCCACAGTCATTTCCTCGCAAACGTCAACACTCACAAGAAATAGAGGTAATTGATTTCATCATCATTATAATAAAAATACATAATTAAAATAAAAAACCCTTCACAAGTCCACTGTTGAACATAGGCCCTCCCCAAGGAATGCCACAAAGCATGGTCCTGAGCCTCCTGCATGTTTTACCAAGTCGTCACTCCATCTAGTGGCGGGCCGCCCTACACTTCGTCTACCGGTACGAGGCTGCCACTCTAGAACTTTTCATCCCCATCGGTTGTCGGTTTTTCGAGCTATATGGCTGGCCTATTGCCACTTCCGCTTACTTAACTAGGTCTCTACAACGTATAGGTGCCAAAATGTTTAATTGTTGACTTAACTAGATAATCAAGACCAAGCCAGCTAAATAAAAGAGGTTTTAATTTTATTGTATTTTATTTTTATTTTCACGTGATATCTTCGGCACTTCTGAACCGATTTTTTTTTCATTAAATGGTCAAACTTAAAGGGTATATAATATATATAGATAAAATTCCATATATATAGATAAAAATTCCACTACGAACATTTTAGCTTGTGATATTTCAGAGTCCGCTTGTGAAAAAATTAAACTATTATTAGAAAATAAAAGTCAACTTCAAATAACTACTTTTGTACGTAGTAGAGCCATGGTGTAGCTATATTAATTGTATAGTTGTAGCACGAATGGGTCGGCTCGACCGGGTGAGCACCACGCTGTCACAGAATACCAACGTAAAATAGCAGCTCCGTGTTGCTTTGTTTCGTGTGGTGAGTGTAGAGAACCGGAGACCCTTTTTACTGGGAAAGAGGCATTCCATCTTAGTCCTCACGGGTGACAACGCATCTGCATTTTATTCGCAAACGAGGATAAAAGTAGATGTCTATGGGCCACAACAACCACTTACCTTCAGGTGGACTGTGTGCTCCTTTGTCACTCCTATTAATTCTGTATTAAAAATATTATTTCTGTATTAAATAACCTTACTTTATTTAAAAAAAAATTATATTCTGTAGCTTTATTCTTCCATACAGTATTTGTATTAGCACCGACTTCAGAGTGTGAAATTATATTATTATTTTTACTTGTAGTTCCTTGAAATCGGCTCTTACTTTTTATTAAAAGTATTTTTTTTATTTTGTACTCTAGATTTCGGCGTATCGCTAGATGAAGTAATTGACACAGAGATCCTTAATTAACTTTTTGACCACTTGTTTTCATTTGAGTTTAAAGACTACTGTTATTTGTTTTAAAGGTCCTGAGAGTATGACCGGAGCGGATTGCAACGTTGATTGTGGAGACAATTCTGCATCAGAGGACGAAGAATCTCGAGAACCACTTAATCAGGTACCATTTGCAAAGAAAACAAGATTTTTAGTGGTAAGTACAAAAATAATTGAATTTAAATTTAAACTCCTCTTTTTTATATTTCGCAGATAGTGGAAGAGGATTCTTTTGAGGATTACATTCCCGAGGAAGATATAGCTTTGGAAGAAGACGAAGAATATCTACACCCCACCACCGCGGAAAAGGAGACGAATACAGAGTGTAACTTCTGCCCAGAGGGAGCGAGACAGCTGCATAGACGGTAAGCTTTAATTAATCTCGTACAAGCTTTAAAAACAATGCTTTTAGCTGGGTTGTTAAAATGGTAATAGGGTATAATATGGTTCAGGTATAATATAAGCTGGGGTAGAAGTATTTAGATTTAAATAATTATGCACAATCTTTAAATATTGTTCGTGGATTTAAAACTATGGTATTTATTTACTTTTTAAACATATAAATGTAAAAAATGTATTACTTATGTAAAAAAATATAAAATAGGTACTTTTGGAGTACTTTTAAATTAATTATAACATTCTAATTATATCATGACACCATAATTTTTACGTACAAATACAAATATTACGTGTTTCATTGTAATCATTTTTGTTACTGTGTAACATTAGGTTTGTAATTTTATTATGGTTGTTATTTCATAAAGTACATAATAGTCACTTTTTAATATACATCTCTTGTAATATTTCATTGTAATGCATCATGCTGTATATACCATTCCCTACAATATTATAAAACCATTCATCGACAAAATATAGATTTGACAAAGAACAAAGAGCACTCAGGTTATTTTTTACTTTCACCAGATACTTAAAATGCTTGAGGAGAGTGGAGGCCGATGGAAGGCCTCAAGAAGAGACTGCATTAGAGAAATTATAATAAACCGTCCAAAATACATAATTGTACATAGCTTATTTAAATATATGTAGGTATGTTTACATTGTGTCGCTAGCTATGTTGACTTTGATAACAGTTTGCTTTTAATTTGTTGCTAGTGGCTTTAACATAGTGATAATTGTAGCTAAATTGCACTATATTCAGTTTTATGTAAGTAGTGTCTTATATCGTTTGAGGGTATTTGTAATTTTTAGCCTAAAAAAAGTATATGAGTAGATTGTCATGGTCCGTTTCAACTTTACGTTTACGCGCATATAATGCGTGTTAAAAAAAATGTGATGAGCCCCCTCGAACTGGCTCTGCCTTTACTATAAAAATTTGAGTGCAAACACATCTGTTTCTAGTTTACGGCGATTTTGTCTGAGATTGTTTTCTACGCAGCCGCAAACTATATATTCTACGCAAAGTGCGATGACCATTTCATTGCAAGTAGTTCTTTCTTCTTCTGATCTATAAAGAGGAAACAATGTACTGACGGACATGGTCCGTTGAATTGAGGATTGTAGTCAGTGGTCTTAATATTTTACATCTGGAATAAATAAGATGGTATAATGCCATGTATATGATGCCATAAGCTCTTTGAATTCTTTTCCATATCCGTCACTACGAATGGATGTCCCATTGGTTGAAATTGGTATGATTCCCTTACTCCCTACTTATTAAACAAACAACAAAGTCAACTGTTGAACATAGAACATAGAACCATATTTTTCCAATACTACATATGCTTATGTAAAACCTGTAATTAATGTTCTTAAATGACAGTTTTTCCAATATTTGACCCTACCCATGGTAAGAGATAATATATACAACTAATTTACTACTATACCAGCTCTGAATTTAGTACTGTATTAGTAATGAACATGTAATTAGATGCAAAATATTCGTCTGGCATTTTAGGATGACTACAAATGGTATAAGTCCGATGAGGCCACACCTTTCGAAGTATTTTTCTTAATTTTTGTTAATAAAAAGAAAACTCCTGCTACTAAATGTAGATTTTGTATTTAAATATTATATTTATATTAGATTCGATATCTACATTCAAGTTTTATAGTTGAGTCTATACATACATAGGCATATTTCAGACATACTATACTATTCGTCAAATTCATATTCAACACAATACCTAATTATGTTTTAAAACACTAAAACTAAGTGCGTTATTGTGTAGGATTTTAGGAGTCTAACCTTAACACAAAATGCATGAATATCATTTGCATGAAAAGCATGAGTCGTGGCCCAAAGGTGATGTACCCTAATGTTTTTTTAATTTGCGTTAATTTGTGTGAAATTCTTTATTACTTACTTTCCCGCGCAAAGTTGAATCAATCTTTCGATCAATTCGAAACGAAATTTTGAAAGACCTGTCTTTTATAAAACTTATTAAGTCAATTTAGCGCATTATTAAACTCCATAGAACCATAGAACCGTGTTTCTTTACGCTAGTATAACTAACATCGTTTTTAGTATGGAGTGTAGAGTACAAGGAGAACCATCTTATAAGGAGCGAAAGTTGAAAAAGTGTGCTACTATTTACTGAAAATAGAGGTTCCAAAACCTACCACAATAGCGCTGGCGTCTGAAAAACTACGATATGAAGATAACTGTTCTGAACGAAGTGAAGTCAGCTGAATTAAAATGCCAGAAGTTAGTAAAATGCCAGTATACAAAATCTCAACTATTTACGTAGTACGAAACCGAACGGATTGGTCAGTCCTTGTTTATTTCTCCATCTTATTCTAATTGCTTTTGGCGCTTTTTTTTAAATTTATCCTATGCTACTGCAGCGCCACCCTTATTGGACACGTTTTTAGGGACAGTTTTCATTAGATGATTTCATAGAGATGGTCCTCCTTCTCTCTACACTCCATAGTTTGTAGGCCAGGCCATACATAGACATTGTCAGTATTTATTTATGTTTTTTTTTTGTAGAAAAAGTCAACAAGCAAATGCGAGTAGTGAAGAGCCTCTAGCGACGATAAAAAGGTCACAGACATTCTCACCACAACCACAGAGCATCGGCAAAGGGAAATATATTTGCAGGTTAGTTTTTGTTTCACTATATTTTTTTAAACAAACGATCCGCCCTTACTTCGTACGGGTGATTTACTGGATCTCGACAACAGCGCCATCTACCGGAAAAAATTGTGAATTTAAACCATCCTAGGACCCTCTCAAACACAAAAAAACTTCATCAAACTCGTTCGAGCCGTTTTCGAGTTTTAGAGAGACTAATGGATAACAATTGATTTTTAATTACAGAGATTTAAAAAACATCTTTATAAATTTTTGCCATTTATTATAATAATTCCAATTAATTCATTTTCATGATTAGAGAAAAAATTAATAAAAATTAAAGCGTTGAAGTGTAACTTATTTATTTTTATCCGAAGGTACAGATTTAAGCACTGTAATATATTATGTAGTTAGTTTTTGAATAATCCTAGTAACCATAACATTTTGCTTAATTTTGAAATATAAATACAATTGGTTCTTTTTCAGATTGAACCGTTCCGAGTCTGACTCGTCGATGGTGCAGTACGCTCGAAGGTTCACATTACAACCTCCTCCCACTACCGGTATACCGTTTGACAGAAGTGTTCGTGAGCGTAGATCTCTTAGGTCAGTAATCAACCTTTATTAAACCTATAGTTTTAAACTACCTTTAAATGCCTGTTTGACGAATATAAACGACGTCTGCGAATTTATCATCTAACATAAATCCGCAGATGTCATAATGTTTCAAGGAGAAAACTTCCATAAGATGGCAAAGAACAATAGCAGAAAAATAGTTGACAAAAATTTTTGCGTCTAGAAATAAGTTATATATAAAATGAGTTTTATTATTTTTCTATGATTTTTCAAATAAAAATGTAATTTAATTAAAGCCACGGAAAAAACAAATATTTTTGGGAATATCAAATGACTTAAATCATTTTACTATATTCAATTGTTGCCATTTACTATATTCATACTATTTTCGTATACACTTTGTAACACAACACACAAACACAAAATATTTTTGAATTAAGTTATTATTGGTAATAACGATAAACAAAAATATGAATATACTAATATACAACTAATATACAAAAATATACAAAAATTGAAAATAAGTCTCTTACAAAGAACTTTCTAAAATTATATATTATTTTAATCATAGTACTATGTATCAATTCCATTTAATGTTATGGCAACACTAGGTAAAACAAAATGTCACGGTTTTTTTAATGACTTTACGGCTCTGGAATCTAGCCCTTCTGAGAATGTCACTGAATGACACAAAGGCCCTGGAGCCATGCCAAAAATATACATTTATAGTATGCAAAATGCAAAATAATAGAAATACATTACATTATGTTTGCGAATCAAAATGCAGATGCGTTGTCAGCCGTGAGGACTAAGATGGAATGCCTCGTTTCCAGTAAAAACAGTCTCCGGTTCTCTACACTCTTACTTATCTTCACGCACAATCCCTGACGGGGTAGCCAGAGAGAACAGATCGCCAAGTGTCACGATCCTTACATATCTCTTTCGCTTCTTTCAGATTCATTATCTTCTTCATACATGCACGTCTAGGTATCCGAGTACTCTTGACCCTACCCTCTTCGAGCAATTTGCTCACATGGTCTTCGAAAGTTAGTCTCGGTCTACCTCGACACCTTTTAATATTACCATATTATTGCCATACGAAACACAGCAGTTTCAAGCTGCATTATTACGCTGGTATTCTGTGAGAGCGTGGTCCTTCCCCAGTCTAGCCGACCCATTCGTGCTACAACTATACTATTAATATAGCTGCAGCATGGCTTTACCACGCTGGCCTTGTCGTGTAAGCGCTAATGAATATATCCGTGGTTGTGTGCAGGTGGGGTCGCGTGAAGGGCGGGCGCGGGGCGCGCGGCAGCCACGGCGGGGCGCGCCGCTCGACGCGCACGTCGCTGGACCTGGCGCTCGACCTGCAGGCGCAGCACACGCGCCTCGAGGACCTGCGGAGCGAGATCGCTACGCTTGCGCACCTTAAAAAGCGGTACGTTCAACAAATTTGATATACAACTGGGTGATATGTATTTTTTTTACACAGGACATATAAACAAACGATGATATGAAAAAATCGATGAAAAAACATCGGGGTGTTGTTGTGTCGTGGACACGTTACATTGCACAACTTTTTTAAAGGATAAGGGTGACAAACGAACACACAATCCACCTCATCAGGTGTGTCCACCATCGTAAGTGGATGCTGTGGCCCATAGACATCTACATTTATCCTCGATTAAGAATCACAATACAGATACGTTGTCACCCCTGAGGACTAATATGGAATGTCTTCCAGTGAAAAGCGTCTTTGGTTCTCTACACACTTTAAAAGTTTATTCTTCGTGAAAAATAACCGGAGTATTGCTGTGTCGTGGATACGTACGTGTGTTTTACATGAATACGTGTACGTAACGAAACGTCCTCCAAAAAGAGGCGCTCCACCACGCGCAATGCGTCACAGCCCTCATACAACGTAACGTGTTCTTTGATCCTTTAGATATGAAAATGTAACACCATAGTGTGTCCCTCGATTTTGTTATCAACAGTTTTATGAATTGCATCCCATATGGAAGCAAATTAAAAGACGTATTCACGTCAAAATGAAGATGAGTTATTTCCCTTCAAGAATAAGTTGGAGTGACTCGTTATCAGATGTCATCACTGACGATACAGAACACAAACAAGGACGATACGATACGTAGCCGCAAAACGTGGACCAAGAAAAGTATGGCTTATTGACGCCCTATTGCATGAGTATTGCGATCGGCGTTATCGTTTAAAGCGCGGTGAGAAGTCATATAAATATCTCGCTTGCACTACGATCAGAATGTATGGCAGTTGTTTTTAATACTGTATTGGTTATTTTGTGTTTACAGTGCAAGGAAATTGCAGTTTCCGACTATAATGTGCTTTCTTTTGTTTAAATCAATGCCATTTTCTATTCTTTAGTTCCATTCCGTGTGAGCGTGGTAATTCCCCAATGCGAGTGAAGTTGTTCTTGCAGTCGTAACACAGTGGATCTCTCACGTAAAAGCTTGTTTCTTTTTTTCAATCGTGTATATATTTTTGTCGTAGGTTGGAAGAGGCATGCAGCCGCGGCGACACGGCGGTCGCGGCGTGGGTGTCACGCGACGAGACGCTGCGGCGGCTGGTGAGCGGCGCGCCCGAGCCGCCGCGACTCATGCACCGCACCGCGCGCGAGATCTACCGCCTGCGCCGCGCGCGCAGACCCGACCTCGTCACCTTCAAGTGAGTGCACCCACCTTCCCCCTCTCTATCTATCTCGCTCTCTCTTTCGCGCGCTCTCTCTCACTCTCTCTCTCACACACACACATAACTGTGTGTTTTCTCGTCGCCGGTCTGGGTATTTTCATCTGGTGAAAACGAAATGGTTACAAAGCCATCTATCTGAACCATGAAGCAAATACAAAGAGGAGGTGCTGTAATTAGATATTACTATGTAACAACGCGTGACAATTTGCGGGGTGAGGGGATGTTAAGCCTCGCCCACTTTACTATCTACATCTACCGATAAATAGTAAAACTACTCGAATCGTTTCATATCGATGTTGCAATGTAGTTTAGCTACCTTGCCGATAGATGGCAGCCTGTTCACAAAATAATTATAAAAATAATATTAAGGCGATTAAAAATTCTTTAGAACTGAATGCAAAACAAATTTCAGCACCTTCGTATGATTATTTTACCAATACTGAGCTCTACGTACCTTTATATGTTTAGTTCACATGACACAAAGTGTCGCCATCTGGTGTCATGCTGACAGTATACGCCCACTATGATGACGTCAGGACCTACTTAGAATCACAATGAAATAATAAAATAAAGTTGCTTATGCCGTCTCCTCTTCGTATTTGCTTCATGATTTGAACCCCTAACATTTATGTGGCATTATTATGTACTGATACTCGCGACTTCGTCCGCGTTGCTTGATATATTAACAATGTTTTCGCTTATAAAAAACGATGTTTCTTAAAACTTTAATAACTTCATGTTAAATGAAGATATCGCAATATTTTTTTTTTATAAGGGCTAAGTAAGTGTCTAAGAAATAAAACTTAGAAAATCCACCTAACTTAATACTATCCAGTAGTTTTTCCAAGATGCGCGCACTGCTGCAAACCTCTATCAATTTATTTATATAGATTATACTATACTATTCTATGGGCATCATGGTATGGTAAAAACAAAATAGGTTAATTGATTCACTTACGCCCCGCCGCCGCAACACAGCAAAAATTCAAATCCTATAACAAATGAGATGCTTCTTTATTTTTACGTAAGACAACATTTATTATAAGACAATTGTTTAATAATAATTTTTATTTATTGTTATAGAGAAAAAATGGCGTTCTTCACGCGGACAAAAACGATAATTCCCGTCCCGCCGGATGAAGAAGGTGACATCTCTGAAGATGACTGGGAGGAAGACCTCGAAGAGCGGAGGACCCCCGACGGCAGATCTTCTAAGACATCGTATGAATTGAGGCGGGATACAACCAACCAAACCTCGCCCGAGACTGTTGCAAACCAATTGGAACAGGTCGTAGAGTGCAAAAATCCCTGTTTGAACCCTGAACCGTGCTTCGAGAACCTTCCGAAGAGAAGTGATGAATTGAAAATAACAGAAGCAACGGAGAACGAAGCGAAGACTGAAGATGTAAGATATGATTTCGTCGTTGACAGAGTACTGGGTGTTCAGGTTTGAGTGACGTATGAAAGAGATGTTTTGAATTTCTTATTGTCTATAAAATTTTACATTCCTACTTGGCTTGATTTATTTAAGTTATTATATTTCTCATGGTATGATTGTGATTCAAATTCTTATAACGACATGAAACTTGTCAACTAAATACGTAAAGTTACGTAGTATTATATAATTTATTAATATTTAAAAATAACAGTACAAACATTGTTTTAGGCAATAATGATTCAAAATATCTCTTTAACTCTATATTTGAAATGAGCGGCTTGCAAAAATATTTGTTAAGAGAGATGAAAAATATATTATATTAAAACGGCACCGTTTCAAATCGCTTATAAATAAAAAAAAAACTGTGATTGCCTATTGAGATTTCTGGACTGAAGACTGACACAAAATATGTATTTGTTATTGATATTGTAAAATTACAGATTAACAGTTTTAAATTGGGTAAAATGAACTTGTTAAATTGTACTCCATTTTATAACCATCGATAAATAATTAGGTTTCATTTATTGTTCTTATTATGAAATATATATTTAAAATTGTCGCTATATATCCGGTCTCTAATCTATGTACGTACATATTATGTGCAAAGAGAGTGCCATAAAATGAATGAGTTATTAAAAAGTTAGTTGTGTTTTAATTCATAGCAGTCATTAACTCTGAGTCGAACCAATGTGTTCGTTCGTTTTATAAAGCGATGCAAGAAGACATGATGTTATATTTTGTATTGCGTATACATTTTGTTTTTATCTAATCAATGTTATAATTTGTACAAAAGAATTGTGCCTTAACATTTCGGTGCCTTAAATTCTTGTGTGGAAGCCTGTAATGTGCCATAGACTGGCATGCCAATAGCTGAGACACGTTAGGTACATCTAGTTTGTATGGAGAGTCACAAAATATATGCCAAACATTTAACGTAATTAGAGACTAATGTGTGTGGGGATTGACTTATATCTTTTTGTACATAAAATACGTAATATCATCGTTAATGGTGACCCACCGGAATAGTCTACTGTATATTTCAGTTTAAAGTTTTTTTTTTAAATAGCTCCACCGAATAAGTAGGACTTGACAGGCCAAAAAGAGTTCGCTTTGTATATAAAGCCTTCAACAGTCGAACAGTTCGTGGTAAATATTTCATTTCGTAAACGACCGCGGGGAGTGATTTTGCAATTAATTTTTCCACTCATTGCTGTGACAATAAATGTAAAAAGTAATCGGGAATTAAGAAAAGTACACAAAAGTATTAGAAAATGCAGCCATTAATAATTTTAAACGTCCAATCTTTTAATATTTATTGTCGGTAATAGGGTGTGATTTAGAATTAGTTTGTTTCTTTGGTCTGACTCAATTGCGTACCTGCTCCTCTTTAAAATAGTTTCCATTCCTCATAAAAACATTGGTATGCGGGCGCTAAATATTTTTTTAGAATATACTCAAGGACGAATGATGTGTTTTTATACTATATGCTTTACTATCGCAATCGACCGCTTAACAAATCATTATCTTGTTTTTATGTATAGATTTGAAAGAGATAATGGCTCATTAAGCGACTCTAAATGTTGCAGTTATAAAACTTGTGAACCAAAATGTTTAAATGTATATTGTATTGTAATGTTTAATAGTAAATTTATACCAAGTTAATTCAAATAAGTATCAAATTTTAGAATTATTTTTAAACGCAATGTCTAAGTCCTGGTATATTTTAAAGTATAAGTGTTAGGCGTCCCTGTCGTGCAATATTATGAGAATTTGTATTTAAGTTGTATTTAATTCCATGAGTTTGTTGTATTACGATCTGAATTTGTACTGAAGAGTTTCTTCTTTTCTCATTTCGTACGTAGTTTCAGTTCCGCGGAACTAGATTATAGTTTGTATGAAAATATTATATTATATAACTGTACATTTTGTAAATTATTATATTAGTAGCTTGTAGTTACTCGTCTTGTACATAATTTGAGATTAATCGACGCTCTGTATTCTGATTTTTGACTATGGTTTTAATTATGATTAATTAGATATAGTCGATGTTAAGTATTTTTTATAACAAAGCAATAGTCTCGTAGTTACTTAGTATATAAAAGTAATGTTACATTTTTGTAAAAAATGTATATTTTATATAAACATTTACGCGAAGTTTATACATATATTTTTTTTTTGTAATTGTTATGCAGGTGAATTTGGATTTGCCAAATTAATATAATTTGTTTTTAATTCTTCCATTAAGAAAAAGGATTATTATATTTTGTAAAGATGCCAATACTGACGTTAGCAAGTTGATATAAATAAAAATTGAAAATAAAAATAATAAATTAATAACTTTACTTGTTTGATTTCCATAACACCTAAACTATAATATAATATACGGTACCTATATTCAGAATGGAGAAAGAATTTATGTTCCGCGGAAGGACTCTCCAAGATTACATTATTACAAAAATTATTAAAATTAAAACATAGTTATTAATTCTTCTTCTTCATCCATCGATTCTATTACAGTCTATAAAATTCCACTGCTGAACATATGCTTCCCCCATAAATTACTTTGCTGCCGTTGTTATTAAGAAAATACTGTTGAACATCACCGGTTTCAGATTCCCTCTGTCGTCTCCTACGACACATACGTGACGATATGGGGTAGTGGATATTCTTTCATCGCCACAACACGGTTCTTCTTCATCATAAGCCTTTAAAATTCTACTTCAGCCTAAAAATCTACTTCACCCCGTAAAAGTCTAGTTCAGCCTGTAAAAGTCTATTTCACCCTGTAAGTCCTCTTCAGCCTGTAAAAGTCTACTTCATCCTTCAAAAGTATACTTCAGCATGTAAGTCTACTTCATCCTTTAAAAGTATACTTCAGCATGTAAAAGTCCTCTTCAGCCTGTAAAAGGCTACTTCATCCTTTAAAAGTATACTTCAGCATGTAAAAGTCCTCTTCAGCCTGTAAAAGTCTACTTCATTCTTTAAAAGTATATGTCAGCATGTAAAAGTCTACTTCAGCATGTAAAAGTCTACTTCCGCCTGTAAAAATCTGCTTCACCCTGTGAAAATCCATTCAGTCTGTAAAAGTCTAGTTCAGCCTGTAAAAGTCTACTTAAGCTTGTAAAAGTCCTCTTTAGCCTGTAAAAGTTTACTTCATCCTTTAAAAGTCTACTTCAGCATGTAAAAGTCTACTTCCGCCTGTAAAAATCTGCTACACCCTGTGAAAATCTATTCAGTCTGTAAAAGTCTAGTTCAGCCTATAAAAGTCTACTTCACCCTGTAAAAGTCACCTGCAGCCTGTCAAAGTCTACTTCATCCTTTAAAAGTATACTTCAGCATGTAAAAGTCTACTTCAGCATGTAAAAGTCTACTTCCGCCTGTAAAACTCTACTTCACCCTGTGAAAATCTATTCAGTCTGTAAAAGTCTAGTTCAGCCTGTAAAAATCTACTTCATCCTTTACGAGTATACTTCAGCATGTAAATGTTTACTTCAGCCTGTAAAAGTATATTTCAGCCTATAAAAATCTACTTCACCCTGTAAAAGGTCTCTTCAGTATGGAAAAGTCTACTTCAGCCTTCATACGTCTACTTCAGCCTATAAAAGTCTACTTCCATCTGTAAATGTCTACTTCATCCTTTAAATGTACACTTCAGCATGTAAAAGTCTACTTCAGCACGTAAAAGTCTACTTCCTCCTGTAAAAGTCTACTTCATCCTTTAAAAGTATACTTCAGCCTGTAAAAGTACTCTTCAGCCTATAAAAGTATATTTTCTCCTGTAAAAGCCTACTTCACCTTGTAAAAGGCATCTTCAAAATGGAAAAGTCTACTTTGGCCTTCAAACGTCTACTTCAGCCTGTAAAGTCTACATCCACCTGTAAAAGTCTACTTCAGCCTGTAAAAATCTACTTCAGCCTGCAGAAGTCTACTTCAGCTTCCAACAGTCTACTTCAGCCTGCAAAAGTCTACTTCAGCCAGTAAAGTCTATTTCATCCTGTAAAAGTCCACATCATCATCATCATCATTACAGCCCTTCACAAGTCCACTGCTGAACATAGGCCTCCCCCAAAGAATGCCATAAAGCACGGTCCTGAGCCACCTGCATCCATATCCATATCCGTAATATCCGTAAAAGTCCACATCAGCCTGTAAAAGTCTACTACAGCCTGTTAGTCTTTTTCAGCATGTAAAAGTCTACTTCATCCTGTAAAAGTCTGGTACGGCCTGTAAAAGTCTACTTAAACTGTAAAAGTCTACTTTAACCTGTAAAAGTCTACTTCAGCTTGTAAAAGTCTTTTTCAGTCTGTAAATGTCTACTTCAGTCTGTAAAAGTCTAGTTCTGCCTGAAAAAGTCTCCTTCACTCTGTAAAAGTCCTCATCAGCCTGTAAAAGTCTACTTCATCCTTTAAAAGTATACTCAGCATATAAAGGTCTACTTCAGCATGTAAAAGTCTACTTCATCCTTTAAAAGTATACTTCAGCCTGTAAAAGTCTACTTCATCCTTTAAAAGTATACTTCAGCCTGTAAAAGTCTACTTCACCCTGTAAAAGTCCTCTTCAGCCTGTAAAAGTATACCTCAGCATGTTAAAGTCTACTTCAGCATGTAAAAGTCTACTTCCGCCTGTAAAAGTCTACTTCCTCCTGTAAAAGTCTACTTCAGCCTGTAAAAGTCTATTTCAGTCTGTAAAAGCCTACTTCACCCTGTAAAAGGCCTCTTCAGCATGGAAAAGTCTACTTCAGCCTTCAACCGTCTACTTCAGCCTGTAAAAGTCTTCTTCCACCTGTAAAAGTATACGTCAGGCTGTAAAAATTTACTTCAGCCTGCAGAAGTCTACTTCAGCTTGCATAAGTCTACTTCAGCCTGCTAAAGTCTACTTCAGCCAGTAAAGTCTATTTCATCCTGTAAAAGTCTACATCAGCCTGTAAAAGTCTACTTCAGCCTGTTAGTCTTTTTCAGCATGTAATAGTCTATTTATACTGTTTTTTTTTTTTTTTTTTTTTTTTTTTTATAGAA